AGCTCCATCAGCTTTACAAGGTTACAGTGTCATCTGAATAAAGTGGAATGGCAATTTCTGTGTTCTGAGTACTCCACTTTTGCTCATCATCCTTCTTACTTGGTTCCTTTTTACTCTTGCTGCTAATCAGACTGCTCCACTAATGAAGGACTCTCAAAATCTTCACATTTTGTTTGTGCAATAAAGTTGGAAGAAGGCCTGCATGCCCTGTTTTAAGGGCATGTTTTAAGGGAGTCCTATTACTGTCTTAAAACTATTTTAAGAAGACTTTAAGCTAGCATTTCTTTCAACACTTAAGTATGGAGATCAAGATTAGATGTGTATTTGCTCTCTGATAGAATTAGGAAGGGATTTATTACATCTGCTAGTTCACTTCACAAGCTCTGCTTACAGCAGATGCTGACCCCTGTAGTCATAAATTCAACCCAACAACAGAATTGTGATTCAACTTTCCTTTTAATCCAAGTATCATTTCACTGGCATGTCGCTGGTTGACACTTACTGGAGAAGCAGTTACCCAACTGCTGAAAGTCCAAAGACTCTCTGGCTCCACTTTTAATGGGGATTATGCGACATGAAAGAAAAAAGTCAAACTAAACAATGACACCTACCTCCCAATCTTATGCAAGAAACATGATCACCTTCAGAAGACTTTCTATTTATAACCTCCAAACTACCAGGCAAGCCCAAATATGCTACACACTACACAACAGAACTTCAGAGAAACCAGGGCCTGTTCCCTAAAGCATATACTCTTTTCCAACTGCAGTGGCTAATATAAAAAGATATTACCTCTACCTACAAATTTTATCTTCTGTAGAATCATGCAGCATATTTTGTATGCTGTTAGCTATTTAGTTTGCTCTTAATGTCCATATGTATCAGTCATACTTTTGGCACGTGAGTTCACTCATACAACTTTTCTCTTCACTGTTCAGGTTAAAAATCTAGCCTTAAGAATAATTGAAAGTCTTATTTTTGCTAATCTTCCACCCCAATTACTCAGACCTGTGATGACTGTTAATGTTGCACTGCTCCACAAGCCACAGCTATTTAATCAGTCACACAACTTTGATTTTACAGTGAAGGATTCTCAGCAACTGACACAAACTTCTCCACAACCCATTTTACATCCATTCAGGAGTGGATGACTGCACATAACTTCTCCTTCTCTAAAGAAAGTGCAGCTTCATTACAAGCCACTTCTGTATTTTATTCCAACAGTGAAAGTTGGCAGGCAGTGGGGGAACTGTTTAAGTTTATAGTCACAAGCTGGCAAACACTAGAGAAGGTGAGGTGCTAAATCAGTGCACCTCCTTGTATCCCAGATGCTAGCCTGCCCTAGCCAGAGTAACTCTTTGGAGCACTCCCCAGTACAGAAGTAGCCAACAAGCTGGTTATGAGGTGGAGTGATTCAGAGGGTAAACTAACGAAAAAAAAAAAAAATCTTTTTCCCAGCCAAAACCAATTCCTCGATCTGGTCCACTGTGTTGTCACATGAACAGTCCTGCAGCACAACAGAGGAAGAAACGGAGGGTGGAAACAAATAGTCACATCTGCTTCAGCCAGCTTACACAGTACTGCACCTGAATGTCAAGCAAGAAATAAACAAACACCTGAACTACCAGATAAAAAATAAGAAATGGAAAAGCAAACATCTCCAAAATTGGGGAAAATTTATTCTGTGCAAGGGACCTGCATTAGTTCACTATACTAGGGGAGTCTAAATATTGCTTGAAGGCATACTTGCCCAAAGATTAATTTCATTTTTAATACACTAGCTAGGAATCGAACACCACATGAGAATGTAAATGAACTGGTCAGGTAATGGAGCTTGAAGATGTTCTCTCACATTTTAAATTCATCTTAACTACAGAATCAAAATTCATCAATGATGCCTGGCATTAGGGGAAGGCAGTTAGCCCATAAGAACAAATTTGTTACAATGCTTCTGTGTTTCACATTAGACATGAAGTGCTGTTGACCAGGTCTAATTGCTACTTTGACATAATAAGCAAAAGCTAAATGAAGGAGCCAAACAACACAATGTGAGAAAAATCTCTCTCTACATAGCTAGAGGATTTTATTTTAGCATATATTCTACATAAAACACAATGCAAAAAGGTCACTCAGTAGTTTTAAAGTTATATATGGAAACAGGAGACTTACCAGCCAACTCTATAGTGTGACGCAACAGAAAGAACATATGGTGCTCTTCCCCTTGCTTAGCCTCATCTCACTGCTTTCTACCCACAGGTGGAATTCCACAGCAACATCAGCCCACCCAGGAGTAAACTGCTGCTACCCCACCCTCCCTCTTGCTTCCATTTTGCAGTCCTGCGCCTTCCACTGCGCCAGCACTACCGCTGGCATGATTGCACACTGATCTAATTGAGGGCACTGAGTAAAATCTAACCCTGCTGAAAGAGAACCCATTTTTAATTTTCAGCTTCTTAAAACGGTTTGCCACTCAGCTGAAAAAGATCACAGTAAGAGAACATAGATGAGACTTCAGCAGCCCTGAGTAAGCTCAATCCAAGGTAACAGGGACCAGCATTAGAAAGGATGAGTTTGTTATTAATATGTAGGTTTGGAGGTCTGTCAATAGGCATATCACTCAGGGCTCTGCCCAACAACGTATTAGTACCTCAGGTTAAAAAAAGATTTACGTCAAGAAGAGCATGCTAAACACAGGTGATGGAATGGGGTTCACACCTGGTTTTCTTCACTCATGTCTTTTTAAAACTCTACCTCATAGTTCAGAAGTTATTTCAGCAGAAAAATAGTTGGAAATAGCATTTCTGGAAAATAAAACAATGTAGCTAGGAATTAAAACCCACAAATGGATTAAACCATCTGCTCTGCCTTTGCCTCTCAGTTCTGCCTGTACTTAACACTCATCACACCTTCTTGTGGTAGAAGACAATTCAAATAAAAGCTGCACTGTATTCCAATAATAATTACAACAATAGCCACAGCTGTAAAATTGGTGTAATTCCTATCAGGGGAACAGACTAAGAGAAGTGTGAGTTGCAATACCTTTGAAAAAGGTTAAAGACCCAAGAGGAATTTGTTTGCAAAAGCATGGCTTGCAGCTGAAAGGGGCACTGAGAGATTGGAAGCACAGCTGAGAATAAGGGTGTTGGTAGAATAGTTGTGGAATGACTGAACAGTCCCAGTTCCACTTAAAGCATTTTACTCAAACTGAAAGAAACCTAAACATGAGCAGAACCTCAAAGCAAGGAAAACAACCAAATTTAACTACTCCTCTATAGCTTAGATTCTTCTCCATTAAAGGCAATGCAAAATCTTTCTGGCTCTACTTTCAGAACCACTTGACTTTGATAATGTTCTAACTAAACTGCAACCCAGCAAGAATGTTAACTTTGTTTATGCAAATGAAGATGTGTAATGAGCAGAGAGCAACATTTTATCATGCTTACAGGAAACAAATATGTTGTTACTCCAGTTATATGTGTCATAAAAGTGAAGGCCAGAAAAACAGTAAGGTCTTTGGAGGGATGATGCTACAGACAACTAAAGAAAAGGAATTATGCCTCTTAAAGGACATCATTAAAAGCTGACAAAACCTGCTTCTCTAAGGGAAGCAGTCACTTCATAATGACAAAGAATTAAGATCAATACAAGTAGGAGAATGCTGGCCTGGTCTCTTAATAGAAAAGACTGTCGCAGAAAGACCAAGTACCCTTTTTCCACCCCCAGATCGTGAGAAAAGAACACTTCATTAACGCCTGTTAAGAGCAAAAAGAGAAATTGTCTTCTGGTAGGAAATTGTATACGTCAGTGGAGAGCCTCTTCTTTCCCTGGTGAAAACAGGCAGAACAGCTCCCCCTTCTGTTCCAATCGACTTTAACCATATTTTAGACCATACGCATACTTTCCATTAGTAAGAAACTGCTGTATCTGCTAAGACAAGACAATCTATATTATGCCACATACCCCTTAATAGATACAGGTCAAAATACCACGCCTACATTTTATACGAGAAACACAGCCTGATGGCGAACATCACAAACCACAGACCATTCCCAGAAGCACTCTCTTCTATTAAAAGCCCTTTCAATTACAGCACTTCAGTATTGTTTCAATACAAAACCCACTTCCTTTGTCCTAATTAACATTCGTACTTGTCGGCATTCAAAAACTTCTATATTTCATATGAAACAGTGTAGAAAGAATCCAAGAAGTAGGTATTAGACAAAGAATCATCACTCTCAGCTCAGTGCTCCATAGCGCACTTGGTGATAAAACTAGTTACCATCTTGCACTATATTTGTGTTGAAGCTACGCTGCTATCCCAGTATGTTACTTTGTTTGGCACTACAGCCCCAAAATCAGAGGACCTTCCAAGGGCTTCCTCAAGCAGAAAAGTGAACTAAATCCAGGCTTTGCAGTTGCTCAGAACGTGCTCCAGTAGCCTACTATACACAATATCACCACCAGCTGACAAAACCTCACTGACCTAAGGTATTTGGAGAAAAAAAAAGCAGCAACATACCTTCAAGAAATTATTAGGAACTAAGGATTTGAAAGCTTTGGTTTACACCTCTTCCCCCAGTGGACTGAACACCTGGGAGAGAGAGCGTTTGGGACAAACCTCAGCTGACAGCTCTTCCTCTCAGCTAGCTCTAGGCATGTTTCCCAGGCAGCTGCAGGTTCCTCGGGATGCCAGGTGGAAGCAGCTCCCCGCGGGCACCCTGTAGGAGACGGCTGGGCAGCCAGGCCCTGCAGTCTTGCACCTAAGACCATTGCTGTTTCTAGCTGATACAGCTGAGACAAACACCCTGTGTCTCCACTATTGGACGCTGTATCAGAGAAGGTATGATGGAAGAACTGCACTTTGTGCTTAATATATAAGGTAGTAAGCCCAAAGGGAAGTCCTTAAACTTTGTGAGAGTTCACTACTAATGCCCAGCTATTTAAAAATAATAACCAAGGAATAACAGAACCTCTCTACTGAGTGCGAGGAAGATACCCACGTGTGGGGCGGCACTGCTCCTCTTATTAGGAGAGTTCACACTCATCCACGACCCGCCCGGAGCTGACCCTGCCGCCTCGGTTCCGCCCACCTTCCGGGCCTGAGGGCTCCCACCGAGGCGCGCCAGGGAGCCCAGCCTCCCTAGGCCACAGGCAAGGGGGAGGCGCTCCCTCCTCTGAGAGGTGACACCCGGAGCGGCGTGGGGCTCTCAGAAGCGGATGTTTTTGAGCCACCGGGCCGAGGAGCCGCACGGGCGGACCCGTTTCCCTCACTG